AAAAAAAAAAAAAAAAAAAAAAAAAAAGAACTCTTAGGATACATAGTGATTTTTCAATCCGGAGAAGATTACTTCTGGACACGGCTATATTACACTCTGGCAAAAAGAATCCACATAGCTTTTAAAAGTCCCTTACGAACTTATAATATATACAATACCCATGTGAGGTTTACCAGATTATATAATCTCTAATCTTTCCTACTCTAAATTCTTAGGAAATGATTATAACAGAAACATCAGAGGAAGGAGATGTTTAGAAAGCTTTATGGAGTTACTGCCATACATCTGAGATCCTGTCATATTTGATTTCATGAGATACGGGTTAATCATCACGAAACAGCAACTTATAAGTGGTTTAGTAATACCAAAAAATAATATATAACGCTGACAACTACTTTCTTGTACAACTGAAGTATTTATTTCGAAGTCTGATGAGCACAGCTATGAATGTATGAATACATCAACAGAAATGAAATATGCCAGAATTCAGAATTTTTCTTATTGGCACACTGGCCCTGCAAGTCATGTGACAATATGTAAGCATATTCTGACATCTAGTGGTAAGTGGAGAAACCTACACTATTTAAATATCCCACAGCATCTTAATGGTAAAGTAGAAGGAATCCAGTAACACTGTCATCAAGATTAGTTATTTTAAAATAGTACAAAGATGATATGCCTCAGGCTTCCCTGGTGGCGCAGTGGTTAAGAATCCGCCTGCCAATGCAGCGGGCACGGGTTCAAGCCCTGGTCCGGGAAGGTTCCCACATGCTGTGGAGGAACTAAGCCCGTGCGCCACAACTACTGAGCCTGTGCTCTAGAGCCCACGAGCCACAACTACTGAGCCCATGCGCTACAATACAACTATGGAGCCCACATGCCTAGAGCCCGTGCTCCACGACAAGAGAAGCCACCGCAGTGAGAAGCTCGCACACCGCAATGAAGAGTAGCCCCTGCTCACAACAACTAGAGAAAGCCCACACACAACAACGAAGACCCAACGCAGCCAAAAATAAATAAATAAATAAATTTTCAGAAAAGGTCCTGATTCAGTAGATCTGAGGTACTGCCAATTGCATGGGTATTCTGAAAAGATTCCGCTAGTGACCATTTCACATCCCTGGTTAAGAATGACTGACTGAGCCCACTAAGACATTTAGTTTTGCATAACCTGAACACACCCTATTAAAGTACAGCTAAGGGTATGCCAAGGAGAGGCAGAAGAAAAGCAATCTCTAATTCAAATTTTTCCCAGATTTTCATACATTGATGGTGTGACTATAAAGAACTGGTTTATTTTAACTCCTGGGGTTGATTATAGGTGCACATTATCTTTTGACCCAGCAGTCCACTTCTAAAGGTTAGTCTACAGACACATCACAGTGCTTGATACATGTTAAAGGTCAGTCACTGAATCGTTGTTTGTAGACATCAAAAGGCTGGAAACAATTCAATGCTGATCAGGATGTGACTGGTTAAAGCAGTGACACATACAAACATAAAGTGGAATAGCGTGCAGGGGGAAAAAAGAATTAAATGAGGAAAGCTCTTTATGTAAAATGGAACAGTCTCCAAAATATACTGTAGAGTGATTGTTTTTGGCCGTGCTGTGCAGCATGTGGGATCTTAGTTACCCGACCAGGGATCGAACCCATGTCTCCTAAAGTAGAATTGCAGAGTCTTAACCCCTGGACCGCCAGGGAAGTCCTGAGTGTTTTTTTTTTTTTTTTTTTAAGAGGATTCATAAACAGTGTACACTGTGTGCTATGTTAAAAGAGGGAAAAAATACACATATCTGCTTATATATTCAAATATCTTTGTAAGAACATAGCAAAAAATAGTATAGTAATATTGTTTCTGGGAGGGGAAATGAATGGTCAGGGGACAGGGTTTGGAGGGAGAGACTTTTCACTATATACCCTTCTGAATTTTGAACCACATAAATATATTAATATGCAATACTTTTAAAAAGATTAAAAGTGAAAATGATTTTACATAAGAGTAACCTCAAAAGGCTACTATTCAATCATTGTTGCATAAAAGGTCAGAATACTAATGATGCCAAAACCAAAATATTACTTTAGGTGGTCCCACTTTGGCATCCAAATGAGTAATACTGAAATTTAAGATATTAAATGCATTACCTAGAGATCCGTTTGTAGCTAAGTCAGTAGGATACAGTTTTACTCAATACTGAGTGTGTAAATGAGTCCTGTCAAAGCTCTAACTCAGCAACATCTGGCTTCAGGATCTTCTAGGCCAAGGGCCCATCTTCCTGCCATGCTGCAAATAACACCTTTGTATTTAACCTGTTTAAAGTATCTGAACAAACTCAGAGCTGCTCGCTAAGAATCTCACCCTCCTGCAGCTATCTTCCTCCAAAAACAAGGAGACAACGCCTACGGGTTAAAAATGCAAACCTGGCTCTTCAGTTTTCAGAACAAAATACCATTTTGTCATCTACATACCAAGTAACCTGAAAAAACACCTGTTTTTCAACTAACACAAAACACCTGGCAACCTTCTGAGGTCTGAACTGTCTTGCCACATGGTCCCTGTCACAAGCAGACACATGTTCCTACAGAAGAAAGGCGGTACCATGCCTCTCAGGCATTTCCCATGCAGCCACCTTCTCACCAGGAAGAACGGACTCGGAATCACGGCAAGATTCAGGGGCGGAAGCAAACCGTGCAAAGTACAGAACTTCGTCCAGGTCTCAAGTTTTACGTTTAAAAATGCCCGCAAATGTTATATTCTACTCTGCAGTGAGTCTTGTTTTAGTATAGAAATGTTGTTTCAGCATAGAAAATGAAAATTCCAAGCTCTTCCCCCTGAATACTTTCTTCACAAATCTCTTAAAGTTTATTGATATTTATTATACAGTTTGGAGTTCTCCCACGATACTGCCCTAGTTTGATAAGCCTCATTGTCTCAAATTATCCAGGTTTCTAAGTTCCATTTTAAATAAAATAATTTAAAAAGCTATAAAACATAATAGTTCTCAGCAACTAAGAGAGATATAATTTATCTTTTTATCGTGCAATGTACTGTGGCACTCTGCAATTATTTGACACAATTGATTGTATCATTCCAAAAGTTAATGTCCCCCCCCCAACACCATACTAGGTTATATATCATACTTTTCTTTTTGGTATTCTGAGTTTTAAAGGCAATTAAGGCATTCAGTAAGTTCATGACTGACCTCAAGCTGAAAGAGATACTCAAAAAGTATTCTGTTACATTAAAAATTATTGACTCTCAGTGGGAATTTAATGAATCAAGAGAACTCACTGTTAACATTAAAACAGTGTATTTTAGCACTTAAAACTAGGAATCATTCCAAACTAGAAACCTCAATAATTAAAGTGATTTCTCGATGGTAAGTTGAATTAAATATTTTCAAAAGAATGTTAAGCAGTCATAATGCCCTTAACATCCTTTTATAAGGGCAAAGTGTATTATGCCATAATTCAATATTCTAATTAAGGTGTTTTAGGGACTATTCTAATAATGCATGATGAAGTAATTCACACAAAGCAACAGAATTACAACACAACTGGACTTACCATGCATGGTCAAGTACTCCACTATGCTCCCCACGATAGCTGGAACGCCGTTCTCAGTCAGCCCCTGCTGGTGGAGGTCTTGGAGACTGACTCCAAATAACTTTGTGTAGGTGGAATTGCTCTGCTCGTTTAGTGGCACTGTCACAATCTTTTTCATGTCTTCTTTCAGCCAAACTGCTGCTTTACTTTGCTTAAAATAGCGGAAGAAAAAAGAGCAGTCAGTCATGTTTACCACAGGAGGCTGCACGGTTACTACAGAATCACCTGAATCAAAGGGTAAGAGTTTGGAGGCTGTAGGGTAGTGGTCTTCACTTATTATTCCTTCAGCTCAAACCCAAATCCCTAACATCTCTCATGTGTTGCTCAGTGTTAGGAATGGCGCACACTGATACAACGGTTAAAAGGAGTGAAAAATAATGAGGAACATAAAGCCACAACTTAAGCGTAGCTAAGAGAGGGAACAATACACTGCAGTAACTAAGATATATTACTCCAGTAACCAGGGTGTGACTCACAAGTACCTCGTTAACAGGAAAATAAAACACTTATCAGAACACCGAAACCCCATGCAGATCCTGAAATAGTAAGATGTTACTGAAGACGAAAATTTATCTCAAGGTCATCTTAAGGTAGCTTTAACTTGAAGGATTAGAAAAAAAATATGTATGTGTAGAATGAACATTTCTTTCTGTGATTTGATTATATCTGAATATCTCAGGAATATTTGGGCATATAAAAATCAACTCAATTTTCTTTGAAGTTCAAAATGCTATCATCTCTGAAATAGCAATGTTTCAGGTAATCACAATTTTAAAAATTTCAATAAGACTGTACATATTATAAATAAGAAATGCAATTTACAGTCAATCAGTTCAAGTTATCACCACGCTGAAAACTTCATACAAATTTGTTTCTTCCTTTTAATAGAAAATTTTTCCCCAAGGAAGTATTTTAAAAGATAAATTTTAATATGGTTTAATAAAACTAAATGAGGGATTTTTTTTTTTTTAAAAACAGCATGTGTCCTACATAAATGTATGTATCTGTAACTTTAAACACTGAAAAGATGGCAAAAAGCAAAAATTTTATTTGAGGACAGAGGAAGCAGATTAGGGGAAACACACCCTTTTTGAGAATGAATGCAGCAACTAACCTAAGTGTCAATATTATAAGTGTAGGCTCATGTAGCTGTTACAATCTAAAAGAAGAAACATTATCTCCATTGTAGAGATGAGGAAAGAAAGATCAAAGAGTTAAGAAGTAATTTGGTAAAAGTCATGGAACTGGTAAGAGTTTCATCATACTCTAAGTCCATGCTCCTTTCCTTAATTTAAATTTATTAATGTTAAAGTGCAGTTTGTGTATAACACAAACTGTGATAAATTCTACATGTGATACATGACAATTACACGAAGATAATTCTACAGTTGTGATTTTTAGTAGGTTCCCTGTAGTTTCAATTTGATTTTGAATCTTACAGTCTGTAGGATCAGGCCAACTTTCATGGACATCTCTGCATCTTTGAATAGGTCATATTTGAAAGCCAGATCTCCCTAGTGACAATTCAGCAAATGTATAAAGTTATGGAATAGATTTAGTTATCTATTAATATTATAAATAAGGCATAGTGTTAGCTACTGCAGAGTAGTATGGGCAAGAACTATCATCTCTGTTACCAAGGAAGTTACTTAACTAAGTCAAATCTGTAACCACTACTATTTTTGTGTGTGTAAGTTTAAAAACCTATCAATACCTTTCAAAAGAACACATGGGAAATTTCAGTCAACCAGGTCTATCTGGTGAGTAGGCAGCCAAAAAGTAACCTTTAACAATGAAACTTTGAAAATACTCTCAAATGTTGCATCAGAAAGAGCTGACAATGAGATTAAATCCTACATGTTTTATCTTATTTTCTTACAGACACAATATAGCAGAGTCGTTTAGAGCAGGGGTCCCCAACCCCCGCAGGCCACGGACCATTACCAGCCTGAGGCCCGCTAGGAACCGGGCCATAAAGCAGGAGGTGAGCGAGTGAAGCTTTATCTGCCGCTCCCCATAGCTCGCATCACCTCCTGAACCATCACCCACCCTCCGTCCGCCCCGTGGAAAAACTGTCTTCCATGAAACTGGTCCCCGGTGCCAAAAAGGTTGGGGACCGCTGGTTTAGAGCGTGGACTGTGGAACCAGACTCCATTTCGAATCCCATTCTGATCTCATTAGCTGTGCAACCTTGGACAAGTCACTTACACCCAGTTTCCCCATCTACGAAATGGGGATACCAGGAGTCCCTAGCTCATAGGAATATATAAGGTTGGAAGGAGCTCATATACATAGAAGAATAAGAAGGGTGTCTGGCATATTCAGTAAGTACTGATTGTTATTATAATCATCATGATCATTCTTCCAGGAAATTATTCTCATTTCTGCTCAAAACAACTGAGAGATACTTAACCACTCCTGTATTCAAATGCTTTCATGGACTAAAGATTGCTGTTGAAGAAGGCACCATGGTCTAGGCCCGTGGTTGGTAGACAGTCTGATGACCTAATTATTCTCCGTGTATCTCAATCTCTTAAAATATATATGTATGACTTTTGAAAGATAAACATAAAATCATTTTGCATGTTAGTATCAGAATTTCTCAAGTTTTTATTAGAAATTCAAGGTTTTCTTAGAAATCCTGTCTACCTGTGACATTCTTTCAGCTAATAGCCCTGTTTTATATTCTGTCCTTTACTCAAGTACAGTCACTATGTTGTGTCTCCTACTAATAGCATAAATAAGCAATCTTGGCATTATGGCTCAATATTTTCAAGGATGAGACATGTAGTTAACCTCACACATTTTGAACTGACTGCAAATTAAACTGTTTACTCAGTACAGAGCCATACTACAAAGCAAGTTTATATGTAATTATAGTAATAAAGGAACATCTGGTTATTAATTGGTAATCTAATTTAGGTTAATACTTTTAAAAAGGTAAATATTGTTTTGTTTTGTTTGTTTGTTTTTTTGTGTTTTTTTTTTTTTTTTGCGGTACGCGGGCCTCTCACTGCTGTGGCCTCTCCCGTTGCGGAGCACAGGCTCCGGACGCACAGGCTCAGCGGCCATGGCTCACGGGCCCAGCCACTCCGCGGAATGTGGGATCTTCCCGGACCGGGGCACAAACCCGCGTCACCTGCATCGGCGGGCGGACTCTCAACCACTGCGCCACCAGGGAAGCCCGTAAATATTGTTTAAAGACAACTACAATGAAAAAAAAACAGCTATATTTTTAGAGACATCCAAATCAGTTCTTCACTGATGGGCTTAGAACAAATATTAAAAATATATCCTTTCTGGTAGGTTATAAGAAATATTCTATAGTTCCCTACTCACAGAAGAAATAAAATAACTGAGGTAATAGAAAGCCATTTATGATTAATTCCATTTAAATTGAAATTACTTTCCTTTATACAATGATAACATCACTATCTCTTTATAAATGTCAATATCTGTGGAATTTCAGCTTACCTTCAAACACACATTTTACCTTTCTTGACCTAATATAAGCTGAAAAAGAAAGTTACTAATTGAGGTATTCTAAGTCAAACTTAACTGTTTAAACCTTTGTTTGCATACAATGCCATACATCACTTGAGTTTGGAAACTGGACTCGTGTGTGTATGTGTGTGTGTGTGTGTGTGTGTGTGTGTGTGTAAAAGTAATATAGGTTCCCACATTAAAAAAGACAGACAGGGAACCTTGGGGTTTACTGCTAGAACAATCTGTAGGGGTTAGTGCTTATAATATCACCTTAGGAATAAGGAAACCAGGACCCCAAAACTTGTGGTGAACTCAGAGACAAAGGGTTGAGCCTAGAGCCCATGTCACCTGAATTTTATGTCAATATTCATTTTTATAATTGCATGCTGGGACCTTGTTTTTCTTTATTTATTTGTGATAAAAAATAGTTAAGATAGCTCACAAAATGCATGCACCAGGAGAGTAGTGAATATTTGTTGATGTGGGGACCACTTAGTCTTCACTTCCCCTTTTTTCTAGTGACAAATCCTGACTGCCTTTGGAGGAATGACCGCACCCTCATTGTGAACATCCCTGATGAGGCTGCCACTTACAACCGCTGCCCTGCCTTTAGCAAGAGCTGGGCTCTGGTGCCCTCGCAGGTCAACCAGACCCTTTGCCCTGCCGGCCACTGAAGCTTGAGTGGACTGTCACTGAAGCTTGCGAAAAATGGATGGAGCTAATTTATTCCAGCTGCAGTGCTCTCACAAGATGGTTACATTAACTAACCATTATGTACCTCTTGCCACCTGCATCACTGGAGCTGCCGTGGGCCTTTAGCTGCCCCTTTCTGACACCGGTCCTTCAGCTGCTCCTTCTACATGGTGGGCCACTCTGTAACTTTCCCGTAAAGTTTCTTTGGGCTTAAGTTAGCCAGAACCCATTTCTGTTCTGTACACACACACACACACACACACACACACACACACACACACACACACACACACACACACAC